ACTTGATTCAATTAAGGGGTGATTGTGCTCAATGTGGGTGTTTGGTAGAACTTATTTGCAGCTTAAATCAACTTATAGCTTAAAATAAGTCATATTGGAGTGTTTGGTAAAAATTATGAGGGATGAATTATGGCTTAACTTAAGCCATTTCACCAATTATCTGTTAAGTTGCCTAAGAGGTGCTTTTCCAAACTGATTATGCGCGCAGTTGATTCTTAAGGTGTATAATGACTTAAATGCTCCTCAGATATTTCAACTATTACCAAAAACCCGACTATATAAGCCTTTGTCTAAGCACTGTTCACTTGTGAGAGAAAGACAGAGGCGATTTTCGGCAAGGGCTATTCCCGACGAGGGTGATTTCCGGCCAGAGCTCTCTCTCTCTCTCTTATACACGCACACGATTTCCGGCAAGAGCTCTCCTTCTTTTTCTCTCTCCCTCTCCCCCTCTCTTTAGATCGCGATCTGAAATTGGAAATCAACACTGCTCGCTCACTCTCTGCTGCCTTCTGCACCTGTATCGTCGGCTCGCGCATCAATGCCGTCACATGAACGCTACTTCAAATCGGCAGCTAGGGTTTCACAAACGAGAGCTTGGTGATCGGGATGAAAAGAAGAATGATAGAAGGGTTTTGCAGATCGGCAGCTAGGGTTTTACAACACTAGTTGGTCGCCGGTCTGAAACGGAAGAGAAAAGGGGGGTTGACGGCATACGGACGGAGGAGACGATGAGGGCTGGCGATGTACGGCTAGGGTTTTGTAATGAATTTTTTTTTTTGAAAAAGAATAATAAATTATTTTGTAATGTAATGAAAAAGAATTAAAAAAATAACAAAATCAAAAAAAAAAAAACAATTGTTATTAATTGCAATGAAAAAGAATAATAAATTAAAAAAGAATAATTATTAATGAAAAAAAATAACAATTGTTGATTATTAATATTATTTAAAAAAGAATAATAAATTAAAAAAATAACAATTGTTATATTATTAATTGTAATGAAAAAAATTTAATAAAAACAAAATCACAATTAAAAAAATTTAATATTGTATATTTTTGTAATGAATTACTTATTAATTGATACTAATTAATAATTTTAGTATTAATTCAGACTAATTAAGCCGTTAATTGATACTAATTAATAATTTTAGTATTAATTGATACTGATTAAGCAATTGATTGATAATAATTAATTTATAATGGAAAAAAATTGCTACAATAACACTTCCATTCCATTACATTTTTATCAAAGGTATCAATTTTTATATTAGTTGATACTAATTAATACTAATTATATTAAATGAAAAAATTTATAATGATACTAATTGATACTATTATTAATTTTAGTATTAATTGATGGTAATTAAGCCATTAATTGACACCTAATTCATTTATAATGAAAAAATGAAAAAAAATTATACTAATTGATACTATTTTTAATTTTAGTATTAATTGATACTAATTAAGTCATTAATTGACACTAATTAATTTGTAATGAAAAAATGAAAAAAATTATACTAATTGATACTATTATTAATTTTAGTATTAATTTATGGAAATTACGCCATTAACTAAGACCTAATTCATTTATACTAAAAAATGAAAAAAAATATATTAACTTTTGTAATACTAATTATATTAATTTTTATTAATGAAATAAATTTTTTAAAATTAAAACTGAAAAAAATGACAAAATAATCATTTTTATATCATATAAGGGCAAAAAGAACAATTACACAGTAAAAAATTATTTTACAACTTATTAACCAAACACTACTCTGCTGCTTAAATCCATAATCTCACAGTTACACCAAACATGTTAACAATTTATATTCACAGCTATAAGCCATAATCTGTTAAGCTATATTTTATAATCATTTTTTCACAGCTCTACCAAACGGGACAATGATTAACTGACTGATTTCGTAAATGTCATTTTCTACTCTAAAAATAATTTGAGCCTGACAACCACATCTAATGTCTAGCCTATCATACTTCTTTTATTGGCTAGGGTCACTAAATTCCCTAAACGCTTCTCTTGAACAAACAAAGTTATGACGAATCAGTTGAGTTGTCCCTCTTTTATAAGTTTTTTTATCTCTTCGAATACAAAAGACTTTGTAATATGCATATTCATTGTACATGTTATAAGCTTCCTCTTCACTATTTGCAATCATTTCAATTTTTAACTCAACAATGCTATCATCCTAGGCACTTGGCACCGTTTGGGAAGAAGTTGGTTGGGTTTTTTTGGCCATTTTAGCCACAAAAAACAAAATAGGCTATTTTAGCCATAACAAACAAAACATCACATTCAACCCATAATCATTACACTCTTCTCTCACAAAAAAAGTCAAAAAAGCCAAAAAACCCTTCCCAAAGCAAGCTTTTTAGCCCAGGCTAAAATAGCAAAAAAAGTCAAAAAGCCAAAAAGCCAACCCACTTCCCAAACGGAGGCAAAAAATTATCAGGAGCATTTGTATCTACAATGAATTACAAAAAAAATATTAAGATATGTATATCAAATTTATACATAAAATATTTAATGCAAAAAATTGATATATATATATATATATATATCAAATTTATATACAAATTCAAAAATTTGTGATAGGCATATTCAATTTCAAAAATGCGCCGGACCTCCAATAAACTCCACCCCCACCGACCCCTCCAGTGCCACGTGGCACTGCAGGATTGGAAGAAAAAAAAAAAAAATTGGCCAATAGAAGCCCACCACGTCACTGGAGGTCGACCCCCACTGGGGTGTGTAGCAGTGTTGTATTCAATTTGCATCAAATTTATCATGTAGATCTTTGCTGAGAACTCATATGTTATATTTAAAAAATTGTGATAAGCACAATCAGTTTATATCAAATATATATATAAAATATTAATATTAATATATATATTACATACTCTTTTTCCATCTTTTTGATCAAGAGGCATACATAAGTTGATATATATATATATATAATATAAAAGTACCTCTTTCTACAACTTATTTTCTGTTTGAAACCATTGTGGATTCTACACTTTGATTTGGTTCAGGTGCCATGAGACTTGTGATGATAATTTTAACCTATAATTGAAAAATTAAAATAAAAAAATCAATAAATTTGGTTAGAAGAAAAAAGAGGGAAAAGTTAGAGGTCTTATCTTAACTTTAATTCCAATAAAAAACTTACTAGGTTGAAATTGATTCACCAGGCTCACCTTTAGCAAGAAAGAGGAGATGAAAGTCTGGAAGAAAAGAACAATGGACGACAAAGAATGAAGGCAAATTCTCTCTCTAAAATGGGTCAACAAATCGTGTGAGAAAGTGGTGGAGTGGGGTTGAGGTGGGCGGGTCTTGAAAATATAAGAGAGAAGAAAGTTAGAAGACCCATGAGAGAGAATTATATTGCAAACTTTAGAGAGAATATAAACACTGCTAGTTTTGATTAGTGATTTTCTGATGTGGCAAATCTCTAACACCATTTAATTAAGGGATGTGTTGTTAAGTTGTGATTAGCTATGGGTAACCATATATGGGTGTCACTGTGCCAACATGGTACCCTATCTACATCTAAAAATTTCTGATGATTTAAGACTACTTTGAAAATATAATTAAAAGTCATTTTTCAGCTGTTAATCTATTTTGAATAACATTATCTCTCACATTTTTTACATATTTTTTTATAAAAAAAAAATCAAGTAAAATCAAAAAACTAACTTTTAAAAATATTTCCAATACAACCCTTAATATATAATTTTATTCTTAAATTACACCTTGCTACCCCTAGCTAGGGGTGGAGGTGGGTCGGTTGCGACCACGGAACTTTCAATCTGTCATCCGTCTGTCAGATTGGCGGATTGAAAAAAATCAATTCACAGCCGTCCGTCAATCCAGCAGATGTGGATTGAGCGAATTGGCGGTTTGGTGGATGGATGCGAATTGGTTTGGCGGTTTGAAATTTTATAAATTTTTAATATAGTTCAACTTGTGCACTTCCTCAAAAAAAAAAAAAAGAAAGTATTGCAGTCAATAACTTAAAAAAGTATTACAATTACTGCATGTCTCATCCAAAGAAAGAAAGTTTGAAACTTTAGAATATCACAATCACTGCATGTCTCATCCACATATAACAATCACAGAATATCTCATCCACATAAAATATTACAATCTGAAACTACCAAAATCATGAACAGAGCAATAGTAGAGATTGTATGTCTCTGTATTATTACATTTATATATGTTTTTGAAAACAAAAATCAATCAGCATATGTCATATTTTTTATTTATTACTTTTAGAGTTAAATTTAAAAATAAAAAAATATAGATAAATAATACATTTATTTTTTTCAATTCAAAAAATATATTCAATTTAAATTTTTTTTTTAACAAAATATTTGAACTCTTTTTCAATTAAAAACACAAACAAAATATTTAAACAAATTAAAAACACAAAATCTTATAAATTATTAAGAGTGTTTACAGTTTGACGGTTCGGTTGCGATCAAATGAACCTCAAATTCGCCATTCGTCCTCCAAATTGACGGATTGAAAAAAATCAATTCATAACTGTCTACTCATCATCATGCATCCATCCAAAATACGACGAATCAATTTAATTCAATTCGATCGATTTTGACGAATCGATATATCCGCTGTTGACCCCGCCCTACCTACGTTTGGATCCTCTAGAGAGGACCGGGAGGTTGTTGTTCTATAATGTGAGACGTCACAACGGGTTGTATCTGTGGAGTGAAATGTTGTGGGCACGACACGTGAAGTAAACGCCGAGATTTCCTTGGACCAAAACGACGTCTTTTTGTGAAGGAAAAAATGAAAAATTGAATCAGTTCAGCGACTTACAGAGAGAGAGAAGGAGCAATGAAGAAGAAAAGAAACACTGTCGGCAACAAAGGATCCCGCCGATATTGCCTTCGGAGCCGCCGACGAAGCCATTATTGAATTCGACGGAAATCGTAAGTTCTTCTCCAAACTTGAAAAATTAGGACATCATGTAAATAGTTCCAAATCCAAATTTTAAAATTTGGAGGAAGAACCTGTAATTTCTTTCGAATCTGTTCAAGATTCTTCAATAATGGCTTCGTCGGCGGCCGGTGCTTCTCGTTGCTCCTCTCTCTGTGTAAATTGCCGAACTGATATTTTTATTTTTTTTTCCTTCACCAAAACGGCGTCGTTGGTTGAAGGGAAATCTTAGCCTTCAACCCATTAAGTGGGACACCTGTCGTACCCACGACATTTCACTCCGCACTCAGTCACTCTAGAGGATCCGAACGTCGACCTTATTGCATAGTGTTATTGTGGACTTTGCAGCGGTCGGGATGATGGCCAGTTCGCTATGGAATCGGCATCCACAGCTTGGTTTTCAATATGAGTCCAGTCAATTCAGTATTCAGAGTCGCGCCCACTCGTCTAATTTCCGTCAATATCACTCCCCCTCCCCCTCCGTTGTAAAAAATCGTCGTATTTGTAGGGGTCATCGCAATAAAATCTATTGCTACAACTCTAATGACACCAGCAACACTCGACCAGAAAGAACTGGAATCCAGCTCTACCGCGATATTGAGAGGTATGTGCAAAATCACTTAATTTTCACCTTTCTTTTTTTCCCCTCTTCTTCCTTTTATTCCTTGAAAAGTATTATCGTGGATCATCTGGTAGTCATGTCAAGTGTTAACTATCATGTTAATGAGATAGTACCTTTTGTAAATGAGATGGTAGATTTTAATTGAGAAAAATTTAACAAAGTTGACGGAGATACTTCTTACTGAAATTGATGATAAATTTCCATTATTTTTTTATTTACTTTTTTGGATGAAAAATGTGGCATCGTTTAGTCTGGAGCAATTATTTTCATGTATTGAATAATTAATGAGATGTTCATAAAATTTATGGAGCCAAGTGACGCGCATATGTATGAAGAATGCAGTCTGATTACAAAAAAAAAGACAAAAGAAAAGAAGTATGAAGAATGCAGTGTTTCAACCTTGGATTTGATGTTAGCAGTGGTAGAAATTGGGGTTTCATGGTCGGAGGATTATTTTTGGTTTTCTTTTTGTGGTTTGGGGATAGTGGTGTATAATTGAACCAATCATCAGCGTGTGAACAGTAACTTTATGGAGACCTCCCTACCCCTGCGCATGATAGGGCCCCTTCCTTTGCTTTTTGTGGTTTTGGGTTGCTAGGCTTGGTCCTTTGATAGAGTGAATGATTAAGCCTCTTAAAAGTAGGGTTTTGGACTGGCTGACTAACAAGGTCTGATTATGTGTAATAAAGTGCAGCAAAATCAGGAAGGCAGCAGGAGAAGGAGAACAAGAATATAGGTACTAGAATACATTACACCACATTAGGGTTACATTACATAATCCCAGACAGTGTTAGAGCCTGAATTTTGGCTTAGAGGGGGCAACATTAAGTTGAAATCTGTTAAAATTTATCACCTACTTCACCCACTTAAACCTACTCCACTAAACCTAACCCACTACACCCACTTAAACCTACTCCACTAAACCTAACCCACTACACCACTACCACCTCACCTACTCCACTAAACCTAACCCACTACACCACTACCACCTCCACTTCACCTACTTCTTACCTACTACACACTCACCCTCTTCTATATATAGGAATCATGAATCATTGTAATAAAAACAACAAACATAAATCAATCAATAATACAATTCTCTATTTCTCTTTATACATTAAATTTCTACAAAATCTTAGCAAAAATCATAATTTAATTGAACATTTATCAAAAAAAAAAAAAAAGAATTATAATCTAACTGAATACAATTTTCATTTGGTGGTAGGACTACAAATCAGCGTGATGCAGACGTTATATTTAGCGATATACACTCTAGTTAACCAATTATTATCTTTTTTGTTATTTGTTTGATTTTATGTATGATGATCATCATGGTTTAAAAAGCAATCACATGTCTCATAAAAAATGAGAGTGAAATTATACCAAGATGCACACAAAAAAAGATGTAGAGAGATAGATAAAGAAATGATAGAGAAGGAGTCTGGATCCTCGGCCGCACAAGCCTGCCGCCATCCCTACGGCACCCCCAAAACGACGTCGTTTTGGGGGAAATTTCAATTTAAAAAAAAAAAAAAAAAAACGGAACAGAAACCAGAGGAAGGTGAATTCAAGTCGGGTCGTATGGAAGGTTTTGGAACCTTTATCGGATCCGATAGAGACACCTACAGGAGGTCTTGGTCCGCCGATCGGAAACATGGGTACGGCCAAAAACGCTACGCCAACAGGACTACCCATTACAGATTCTCAATGGGACTTTCTATCCTGGAAACAAAGATCAGAAGCAGAACTTGAGTTTCAGTCACAAGATTTTTGCGCCGTTGATAATGGATGAGAACTGTGGAATGGCGAAGAAGAGATCGTCGGTGGATGGGTCGAGGGGGAGCTTGAATGAGAGGGCTTTTCCGAGGATTTGTATTTGGGAATCGAAAGGGGAAGCCGGGGATATTACTTGTGATATTATTGATAATGTGGAGGCTTCGATGTTCTATAGGGATGGTACTGGGTTTGATTGTCATGGGATTAGGAAGTTTCAGAGGAGTCCCTGTTGTTTGAATGGTGAGGTGAAGAAACCGGGGCAGACGATATCGAAAGGACATAAGAATTATGATTTGATGCTAAATCTCCAACTGGGTATTAGGTAAATTATCGATTGGGTTTGTGGGTTTGTGGGTTTTTTGATTCCAAAAAAAAGAAGTGTTTTTTTAGTTTATGTTATCATTGTGATTGATTAATTATTTGGCTTATTAAATCTGTGTTCAGGTGCTTATTAAGATGCTTCCAAGGTACTACCAACATGTTTGTCGGTATGAAAACTCACTAGTGACCAAATTCTTCGGTGTCCATTGTGTCAAACCTATGGGTGGCATGAAGGTGAAATCAAACCCAGAAACAGAGAGGAAGAAGAGAGAGGACAGACCAAAATCAAGCCCAGAAATAGAGGGGAAGAAGAGAGAGGACGGAGGGGGGCCAAAATCAAACCCACCCTCACGATCCATGGCTTTCCTTGTTTCTGCAACATTAGGATCAATTAGATCTTCAATGCATATACATCGATCGATCGATCAAACCCATCTTCCTTCCTTCTTCTCCTCTCTCTCTCTTCTTCGTTTCTGTTCCCTTTTTTTTTTTTTTTTTTAAATTGAAATTTCCCCCAAAACGACATCATTTTGGGGGTGCCGCAGGAATGGCCGCAGGATTGTGCGGCCGAGGATCCGGACCCATAGAGAAGAGGGCTGATATATATGATATATCGCTTGGTTTTTTCACCGGATTATATGGCAAAATATTATTTGCAGCCATTAATTGTGTAATAATTATCTCCAAACAAAGGAACCAATCATGAGTATCCATATAAGGCTGATATAAAATGGTGACAAAATATGACGACATGTAGCATTTCTCTAATATAAAATTATAAGAGAACATTTTAGCATAATTAAACATTTAAATTTAACGGATTTTGCTAAAAAGAAAAAGTAAAGAAACGGGATGTATAAAAATTTAAGGGCATACTTGAGACTATAAGGGAGTAAATTGAAATATATTTATTTATTATAGGTAAAAGTATAATTTCCAAAAAGTTGAGGGGGGCATGTGACCCCCCTGCCCCTCACATGCCTCCTCCCCTAATCCCATAGAAAGTGTCAAGCTGTTACAATTCTTTTGAAGTTGTTACATATCGCAAAGAGCATTATAATAGCAATATGAACTTCTAAGAATTCCTAACCATTAATAGGGATGGAACTCCAAAATTAGAGAACCTAGGGGCTTGTTTGGCAATGGATTTTGTTTCCATTTTTTTTTTTGCTTTTGTTTTAAGAAATTTTAAAAATTGGAAAGAAAAACATATTTGGTAATTATTTTCATTTCCAAAAAAGTGAGTTTCAAAATTTTTTGGAATAAAAAGAAGTGTTTTAACTTGTTTTCGAAACAAGTTTTCATTCCCACTTCCCTCCTCACGAGCTCCATCCACCACCCCCAGTCACCATTGCCATCCACCACCTTTGGCCACCCCTGTCACCAGTGACCACTTTCTGCCATCAACCACCACCACCTCCAGCAACCCCGATTGCCGATATCCATTGATGGTGACTACCTCCAGCCACCATGTACTGTTATCAACGACCACCTCTGGCAACCCTTCACTTCCAATCTCCAACACCTCTAGCCATCCGTCACCTCCTACCACCACCTTTAGCAACCCACAAAATATGTTTTCTTGTTTTTGTTTTTATATGCTTCGAAAACATTTGTGTGTACCAAACAAGCTTTTCAATTTTGTTTTTGGCAAAAAAAAATAAAAATAAAATAAATATAACATGTTTTATGTTTTCAGTAAGCAAAAAATAGAAAATTGGCAACGTTACCAAACGCCACCTAAAATTTTTACTTCCAAAACCCTTATAAACCAACTGAAAGACCATATGTAATGCCTTTATAACAAACTAGTGGTGTGGCACATGCGATGCATGTGCAATTCAGATAAATAAGCATAAAAACAAATAATAAAGAAATTAATGCAATAATATGTATATTGTCTAAATGGTAAGAGTGTTCTTAATGAAACCCAAGGTCTTGGGTTCAAATCTTACTCATGCCTTTGAATAACATTTTTTTATTTTAGGATAGAAAAATTTGCCACGTGGTAGAAGGAGAAGCTACCACACTATTAGACACCAAGTCATGTGCTCACATATATAATAGTATAGATGTTGGCCAACCTATGTCTAGAAAATTTTTATAAGCTGCCAAAATGCTCTTTATTACTAAGTAAAATGTGTAGAAGGGAAGATGAGAGTATTGATAATTTGTTCTTACATTGCCTTGTGGTCTTGGCTTTATGGTGGAGATTGTTAAGATTCATGGAGACTGATGTAGGACAATTAGAGACAGCAGCAAATCTGGGCTTTTGGGGCTGATTTTAATTGGATTTTGTAGCCAAAATCGCAATAAAAATATAGGGTTTTGAAGGGTCTGTATGGGGTGATAAAGGGGTAAGAGTTTAAGCATGAAAAGATGATATTTTGGCACTATTTAGGGGGTGTTTGAAGGGCTGTGAATGACTGTTATGGAACTGTTATAATGCTGTGAACATGCAGAAAACAGGAGAGAAAGAAAGGAGAAAAAGAAGATAGTTTTAGGAATCATTCCTAGAATCCCTTAGGCATCACACCTATGGTTTGATTACATTACACAATCCACAAGAATGCTTCAAAATTGTTCAAATTTTCTAAAATATCAACTCCATTAAATTAGAAGTATTACATGGTATTATATAGACTTTAGAAACTGCCTATTCCAACTAGTACCAAAAAATGAAACTACTAAAAGTAGTTTGACCTACAAGACAACCAATACAACCAATGTCAGCAAATATGAAAATTACAATAGTACATTGACCTAAAAATCCTAGAAACATAAATGGAATCATAAAATAAGACTAATAATACTAGAAACATGATTATATATGGTTCCTATCGGGTTTTCTTTGACATCATGCTAATTTTCAAATATCATCACTTCTTTAAATTTACTTTTTTTTTGAGCTTCTTATACTCTACATATTTACTTTTCTTTGAGCTTCTTATATTCTACATCATTGGTGTTACCCTGTATCTGTGTTCATATGCTAGTTATTGATTTTACGTTTTGGCCTTTACAAGAAGTGTGTTGTCAATGTTTTTGGTTATTTGGTTGGAAAGGAAGAATTTTTTAGGATAAGAATGATGATATTGAGGGCATATGGGATAAGATTTGTTTTTTTACTTCTTTTTGGGCGTTAGTGTCTCCTGCATTCAAGAGGATTTGTTTTTATTTTTATTTTTAGTGATTGGAGATTAGTGTGTAATAGGTAGTTTTATTTTGTTTATTTACCTTTTGATTGACCTATTGTCCTGCTTTGGTCCTTTTGTACTTCTATTTAGATCTTTATTATAAATTCTTTGTTGCTGATAAGAAAGTAAATGTGAAGCAAGCAATATATAAATCTAAAGAAGCCGTAAAATTTTATGTTAGAATTTACCATCACCTACCACCAATTTACCATCACCTACCACCACCTACTCCTCACCTACTCCTCACCTACTACACTCACCCTCTCCTATATAATGAGCTACTCACCATTTGTAATATACACAACAATATATATCAATCAATAATACATAAATTGTTACATTTTACTAGACTCAAACTTAAACATGGATATGATGTGTTAGGTGTGCCTTTCTTGAAACTAAGCTAATAATATCTTCTCTGAGTTTGCTTGTCCTCAATCTTCTTGTGGACCGAGTCAACAAGACAAACATCAGTTGGATGTTTTTGCAACTAGTTCTTTACTGCTTTTTTAAAACTATCTTCTTTTACTAATTCAAAAGCTTGAATTTAGTGACTTGTCTCTTAAATATGTAGGAATTACAATTTAAAATCAAAAGAATAATGATTGCTTTGTTATTTACAGATTAGTTACAGAGAATGTAAGGCAGTCTCAAGATGCTTGGGGTGGTTCAGGAGACTGGAGTGAAGTTGAGGTGTCATTTAATTTAGATTTGCCAAGAAGCATTATACTTTCATTCCTGTATTGCAACCTATTAAATGATTTTTAGTTGACATCTTTGGGTTTTTATTTTTATTTTTATGCAAAAAGTTATTATATGGAAAAAGAAAGTTTATTTATCTTATTAATTATTTGTCTCTTTTCTTATGCTTGATCAATCTATTCCATGGATGACATGAGAAAACTGATGTAATCTGTAATAGGGTTTTTAAAGAGAGAGAAGAAAGAAAATTACTGTGATGAAAAGAACATTGCTAAAAGATGAAAATTTGGGATCAATTTTAATATTCTCTTCAATTTTATTTGTTTCTTTATTTTGGTTTGTCTATACATATAGGCTTGATAAATTTGAAACATGGAAACAACATCTCTGCACGCGACAGTAATTTTGTGTACATCTATCCTTTCCTGTACCTTGCAGTGGTGTGAGCCTTGTGCACTAGGTTGCCCTTTTTTAATGGTTTGCTAATATTACAATTTGTTTGAAGAAATAATTGTTTACATTTTATTTTGATTGGAAACAAAAATAAATAAATAAACTAAAAATAAAGGAGAAAAAAATACAAGAGAAGAGGACAAGTAGACCCCGAAAAAGCATAAAAGAATAATAAATAAAAATAATTGTATCTCCAATCCCCATTAATAAAAAAAAATAATGGAAATTTTGCAAAAGGGAAAGAAATTGAAGCCCAGTAATTGACAAATCTTATCCCGTATCCCCTTTATGGCCATGTTAATAAGTCAACTTATTTAGCTTATTTGCTTAAAAAAGTTGATTAATGGTGTTTGGTTGCAATTTTATGTTATAACTTATTTGACTTCTTTATTTTTTTAACAAAAAATTATTTTCCTAAGCTACAATTTGTAGCTTTTTTGCTTATTTGAAACCCTTAAATACTTATGGACAAATGAGCCCCAACTCTTATTTGACTTTTTGACTTTTGAGGGCAAACTACATATTTGCACAACAAAAAACTATGTGACAGTTTATTTAATTAAATAGGTTCGACTTTTTTCAGAGATTATCAAAAGTTACATCAAATGCATTTACAACTTATTTGAAGTATTTTAAGCTAATAATGTAGAAAGTTATTTAATTGATCAGCACTTTCTGCGTTCCTTCTACATAAAAACACCACTGCAGAAGCAACGAATAATTGGATCTTCTTTTGTGAAGCAAATCATTTGTATTAATCTTCTTATGAGCCACAAACCATAGAAACACACCTTTATTTTAAGGGGCACACAAGCAATACACTCACTTTATAAGGAGCAAAAAGAGAAACAGTAGGTTTATCAATTAACTCATGAAGGAAAGACTTGTAGGAAAACAAACTCGAGGAATGAATAGACCATACTCTTTGTTTATTTATCTCCCCCCATAGTGGTGCTTCCTTAATTTTGGTATTAGTGCAAAAGATTCATGGGAGACATCAAGATGTCATTTGTCAATTGAATTATAAGAATTATATTAGAAGTCTTTTCTAATTATGTTGCTATTTTTTTTTTTTTTTTTTAGATGTTTTTAGGGTTTTTGTGATGAATTTTTAGACTCTCCTTCTGTTTGGTTCTTTATTTGTTCTCCTGGGTTGCACTACAAAGGGTCTTTGATAGCTTGATATACATTGTTGGGTCCATTTCCCAACCAATTAAGAGTGATCCAACGCACATAAATATCCCTTAGGATATTACTACACAACATAAAGAACATAATACTTTTCAAAGGGATTCCTTTGTTTTTAATTTCTAGAGATTGGAGACCAGTTTGTGGTATGTAATTTTGATTTTTAACCTTTTTCTCTTTCATTGGGGACTTCTTGTCCTTTTATCCTTTTGTACTTGTTCCTTCTTCTCTAATAAAATGCTTTTGTCGCTGATGAAAAAAGGGGTCACCAAGACATGTGTCCCATGACGGCTGACATGTGATTTGGAGTACATATGTTGCTTTTGAAATATTAGGATATGACATCAATTTTCTTTGGTTATTACTCTTCACACTGCAATTTTTTTTTTTTTGTACTTCAATTCGTAAAGAGTCAACAAATGATGAATTTCATTTTGAAGGTTGGAAATATAGCTATTCTCTTTTGTGGTACTCAACCAAAGTATTTCATATATAAATATATATTTGTTTAGTCTTATAGTTTCCCATTTGATGGGACTTAAGGCTTGGTCTGGGTTGGTTTTAGTCTTATAGTTTGTGTGTAGACATCTCTGATAATCATATTAAACAAAATTTCCTTGTACTATCTCAGGGAGCATGGGTTCTGAAACCAAGAAACTCAAAACCAACGTCAGTTGTACATTTTGTTGGTGGTATATTTGTTGGGGCTGCCCCTCAGCTTACCTACCGCTTGTTTCTTGAGCGACTTTCAGAAAAGTGAGTGGCTTTGGACTGGTAATTTTTTTCATGTTCCTCTGTAGTTATTTATCATTACTTAAATGTACAACTCAGAGTTTGTATGGTGGCTTTTGTGCTTCTTTAATATTTTGCTCAGATCTTTCTCTTATTTTGAGATTTTTTGATGTTTTTCCATTTGTAATTCATGTCATAAGCCTCAGAGTCTGATTTTGCATGTAATAAATTTTGACTGTGAACTGAAATCTCTCACCATGAAATTTATTCCTCAGGTCATTTGCATCTGATTATTCCACCCAGGATAGAATCTGGATTTGATTTTCGGTTCTGTTTTTTTAATTGGCAATGTGTCTACACAAGCTACTTCTGGTGGATCCCTGTATTACCATTGTGACCAATAAGAAAGAAAAATTAAAAGTTTTTGTTTTGTGATATAGGGGTATTTTGGTGATTGCAACACCTTATGCTAGTGGATTTGATCACTTCTTCATTGCCGATGAAGTGCAGTTTAAATTTGATAGGTGTCTTCGCTTTCTACAGGAAACAGTGAGTTTCAATGTATGACCTGCAGTTGCAGAATATTATTTCTTATCCAAGCTTTTATTTTAAGTTGCTATATTACACAGGTACAAGATCTTCCTACTTTTGGCATTGGGCATTCTCTGGGATCTGTTATCCACCTTTTGATCGGTATTAAAAGATTCTTCTTATTGCCCTCCTTCTATGGATGTTTGGTCTGCAGCAATTTTGTTAGATTGTTGACGTGTGACTGTTAATCAGGTTCAAGGTATGCTGTGCAAAGGAATGGAAATGTATTGATGGCATTCAATAACAAGGTACTTGACCACTATATCATGGCCTAAACTGGTAATTAATGTCTAGTTGAAGTTTCAACTGCAAATTATGATAAATTGGGTAAATTTCATCCAATTTGGTGATTTTTTCCTAATTTTATTTAGGTTGTTTTAAATTTCTGACTTCATGGCAAAGGTTTGTTCTGTTGAGTTGACTTCATGGCCAATCTAGACATTCTGATTTATTTATTTTACATTTTTTCTTTTTACTTTTTGATCAAATTTTACCAAGTTTTGTTGCATTTTCAGAACTTTTGGCAACTTTTGAATTGAATCAATAAAAATATTTTAAAAAACTGTTTTCCCAAATTCCTAATCCTAGTTTTGCTGAATATTATCACTTTTCAGCAGTTTTTTCTTTTTCTTTTTTTCCTATCTGAATTTGGATCAATTCAAAATCCAACTTTTCGCAATTTTTTTTAGTGAAATTGGTGAATTTTAAAACTGCGGTTTAGGCACTTACTCCATATGGGTGAAGACAATGTGAACAACAAAAAGCATCTGAAGGGACCAATGATTTTCCACTGGGCCCATGTCCTCTTGAAATTCAATTGCTTTCTTCCTTATAGTTAAAGTCGAGAGCTTCCGCATGATCTGCTTCAGAGTTCCATTCTGCACAAAACTAGTCTTCATCATGTGCACAAAGAGAAGGTGCCTAGTCTGAGTTAGGCTTGTAAACTGATGGGGTTCGGACCGGATTTGGCATAATCCGATCCCAGCCGTTCAAGCAGTAATCTGAATCTGAATCCAAATTCGAATCCAAATTGACCAAATCCAATAATAAGAAATCCGAATCTGAATCCACTGTATATGGATGCCTGATCTAAACCCGATCCAATCCATGTTTTTTTTTAACACAAAGCCTAACAGCCATTCTTACCTACCGAAACACAACTATAAAAGTCAATAAAATTGAATTTTGAATACTTCCACCATCTAGTGTATGTTTTAGGGAAAATCAAACTTAGGGTTGTGATTAGGATATCACCCCCTTTATATTAGAAAATAGGTGACTTACAATATAAGCCTTTTAGGCGAGAAAGTAAATAAGGAAATGCAGAAATGCTAACACTCCCCCTTAAGTTGGTGCAAAAATATCTCTCATTCTCAGCTTGCTAAGAACATCATGGAGTGATTTACTCCCGACTCTCTTGGTGAAAATGTTTGCTAGTTGTTCGCTAGACTTCATAAAAGGAGTACAAATGGTGTCATTAATGAGTTTCTCTTTGATGAAGTGACGATCAATCTCAATATGCTTCGTCCAGACATGTTGAACTGGATTGTGAGTTATGTTGATAGCAGCCTTATTATCACAATATAGTCTCATGGAGTCTGTCTGAGCAATTCCCAAATCACTCAACAGTATCCTGATCCACAAGAGTTCACACATACCTTGTGTCATGGCTCTAAACTCTACATCTGCACTAGACTTTGCTACCACATTCTGTTTCTTGCTCCACCAAGTAACCAGATTGCTTCCAACAAAGGTACAATATCCTGATGTAGACCTTCTATCAGTTACAGATCCTACCCAATCAACATCTATATAAGCTTCCACCCGAAGATGATCATGCTTGGAAAAGTAGAGACCCTTTCTAGGTGAAGATTTCAAGTACCTAAGGATACACATAACAATATCCAATTGTGCCTCATGAGGAGCATGCATGAACTGCTAACTATGCGAACAACAACAACGATGTCGGGATGAGAATGAGATAAATAAATGAGCTTATCCACAAGTCTCTGATATCTCTCCCTATCAACAGTAGTTCCCCCACTATCATCACTAAGTTTCTGACTAGGTTGTAGCATTGTGTCGCATGTTTTACTTCCAAGCATCCCAATTTCCTTCAATAGGGCAAAATCATATTTCCTTTGAGAGATAAAAATTCTGTCCTTGGATTGGGGAAACTCAATTCGTAGGAAATACTTAATGGTCCTCAAGACTTTTATTTCAAAGTCACATGCCTAATATTTCTTCAACTGAGTCATCTCTTCAACATCATCTCCTGTAAGCACTATGTCATCCACATATACAATGAGAGCTGTAGTCTTACCATGTGAGGAATGTTTAACTAACAAAGCGTGATTAGCTCGACTCTATTTGAAGCCATATTTAAGCATTGCCTATGTAAATCTCTCATACCAAGCTCTTAAGGACTGTTTGAGACTGTACTGTAGGTTTAGAGAAGAGAGAGTTAGGGAATAAGTTAGACTTCATTCCCTTTTATATTTAATAATGCTAAGTAATTACAGGAGTGTCATAAGGCATAATATATAGGCCAGCCCATTACACCAATCAAGGGAATAAATAAGAATAATAAAATACAATCACAATCACTTATTACCTATTCTAACACTCCCCCTCAAGCTGGTGTGAAGATATCTCTCATGTTGAGAATGCCATGAAATGGTTTGCTCCCTAGCCCCTTGGTAAGAACATCGGCTAGTTGGTCTTCAGTTTTTACAAATGGAATACATATGATGCCACTAGTGAGTTTTTCCTTGATGAAGTGCCTATCAATCTCCACATGCTTAGTTCTATCATGTTGAACTGGATTATAAGCTATGTTGATTGTGGCCTTGTTGTCACAGTATAGTCGCATGGAGTTAGTCTGATGGATTTCTAAGTCTCCCAACAATAGCTTAATCCATAGTAACTCACATACACCCTGAGCCATAGCCCTGAATTCTGCCTCAGCACTAGATCTAGTAACCACATTTTGTTTCTTACTTCGCCATGTTACTAGGTTGCCACCAACAAATGTGTAGCATCTAGAAGTTGATCATCTGTCAGTAATTGATCCAACTCAATCTGTATTAGTAAATGCTTCCACACTGAGATGGCCATATTTTGAGAAATAGAGACCTTTTCCAGGAGAAGACTTCAGATATCTCAGGATTCTCATAACTGCGTCCAAGTGGGAAGCTCTAGGAGCATGCATAAACTGGCTCACCATGCTCACGGCAATGGCAATGTCTAGACGTGAGTGGGATAAGTATATGAGCTTGCCCACTAGTCTCTGGTATCTCCCCCTGTCCACTGGATCTCCCTCTTGATCCTTAGTTTTTGGCCCAGTTCTAGAGGTGTATCACATGGTCTACCTCCAAGCATTCCAGTTTCCCTTAGCAAGTCAAGTACATACTTCCTTTGGCATATGAAGATGCCATCCTTGGACCGAGCTATTTCAATGCCCAAAAAATACTTCAAATAGCCCAAATCTTTGATTTCAAACTCCTTGGCTGAGTATTCTTCCAAACGAGGAATCTCCTCAACATCATCACCTGTCAGAACAATATCATCAACATAGACAATAAGAGCTATGGTCTTACCATGTGAGAAGTGTTTTACAAATAAGGTGTGATCAGCTTAACTTTGCTTGAACCTATATTTCAGCATAGCTTGAGCAAACTTTTCAAACCAAGCCCTAGGAGACTGCTTTAGCCCATAAAGTGACTTTCGGAGCCTGCATAGTTTACCGTTGGACTTAGCATTCGCAAAATTAGGAGGAATATCCATATAGACCTCTTCTGCTAGGTCTCCATGAAGGAAGGCATTCTTCACATTAAACTGATGAAGTGGCCAATCCAAATTTGCAGCAAGAGAGAGTAAGATTCGCACAGAATTCATCTTAGTAATTGGTGCAAATGTCTCCTGGTAATCCACCCCATAAGTCTGAGTGAAGCCCTTCCCAACCAGTCTTGCTTTGTACCGTTCTAAGAACCATCTGCTTTGTGTTTTACGGTGTACACCCACTTACACCAAACTGAATTTTTGCGTCTAAGTAACTCCACTAACTCCTAAGTGTCATTCTTGCTGAGAGCTCTCATCTCTTCTATCATGGCATGTTTCTATTCAAGAATAGAGAGAGCATCCTGAAAATTGGTAGGTAGACTCACAGAAGACACTTTGGACAGAAAAGCTTTATATGAGGAAGACAGATGAGAATAAGAGACATGATTACTAATAGGATGCTGAGTACATGACCTAACCCCCTTCCTATTAGCAATGAGAACATCAAGATCGAAAAAAGCAAGAATAAAAGTAGTAGAATCAGAATTACCTGGACTCTGAGGAGAGGGGGGTGACTCTGGACACTCATCCAGAGAAGAAGTTGGCAGTAGAGGAAGAATAGTCTCTTGCATCCAGGTGACTTGCTGTCTGTCCTTGTCCTTGATATAAATTTTGCCCGTTTCCTTTTCCTCAACAATTGCTGGCTCATCATCCACTATCTGTTCAACCACTGGCGGAAGTGGAATAAGAATCTCTTCACACCAAGGCTCCCCCTAAAGGGATGACTGTGATACCAGGGTGGTCGGAAAATAAGGCTGAGACTCAAAGAAAGTGACATCCATAGAGACAAACCATTTGCAAGTGGGACGATGATAACACTTATAACCCTTTTTGGTGGCAGAATAATCCAGTGAAACACACTTAAGAGACCTAGGATCCAATTTACCACGAGTGGGTGAATGATTATGGACAAAGCAAACATAGTCAAAAGTTTTAGGAGGAATGGAGAACTCGAAAGGGCTAAATCCGAACAAAACTTGAAGAGGTGTTTGTTTTTAAGGACTTGGGTAGGAAGATGATTAATTAAATAAGTGGCAGTGAGAACCGCTTCCCCCCAATAGGATCGAGGAATCCACATCTCAAAGGATAGGCAATGGGCGACATCAAGAAGATGGCGATTTTTGCGTTCTGCAACACCATTTTGTTGAGTGGTATTAGTGCATGAAGTTTGGTGAATAATACCATGAGTGGCGAAGTAAGTGGCAAGACCAAAGTTAATATATTCCCCCTCATTATTAGAACATAGAATTTTGACAACCGCCCCAAATTGAGTACAACCATTTTATGGAAGTTTTGAAACACGGAAAATACCTCACTTTTATCTTTCATCAAATAGACCCAAGTGGCCCTGGAACAATCATCTGTGAAGATAACAAACCATTTTTGACTGGTTAAAGACACAAAACGG